ACGTGAGGGTTTTATAACGCTGTCGCACACTCTCGAGATACGAATTCGAAGAGCCAGGACGCGTTGGGAAATTCAAATTTTTTTTTAGAGAGAATTCAGCAATAATACGATATTTGAATCCCATCGAGCAAAGGATCGTGTACTTTACCGCGAATGTGCAGAGTATCAGTGAGCGGCTTAGGACGGACAATTGGCTATTGATTCGGTGAATAGAGACTAATGTGTGATTGATGAAGTAGTCGGAGAAACAAATGAAATCTCGCGATTTTTTTACGCTTGTACTGACTCGCTGTTGTTGCGACGATGCAACTTCATTCAAATTCTTCTGCATCGCAGTAGTTTATCGTTAAATCGCAGGCAAATTTGACATGTATCATCGGTCATTTATAAAAATCGGGACTCGTTATAATAAATTTCGATGGTTGTATAACTTTATCGATTTCACTGCAAAAAATTTTTAAGTGTGCGCGAGCCCTTTCTCTGCTCTTTTGCAGATGGTTATTTATTAATATAAAGGGGTTAACAATTTTGAATTATACACGATTATAATATGCTTTTCAAACATGGTTGAACAAGTACTTTCTAGAATTCGTTGCTATCCTATCAAATAATTACGTACCTCTAATATTTTTCAATACCACATAGTAGTGTGTAAATCCTCTTGAATATCCATCTGAATTTATAATCGAAAGAAAACCGATTGTTATGCATACGGTAGCATCTCTCTTTTTTAATCAGTTTAACCGTGTAACTGATCGTGTAACAAGAAATTTAAGTTAATCGTTGAATTTCCTAATACATTTTACAAATACCTTAATAAATTATAAAAATATATATAAACTATAAAAAAATTAATGAAAAATAAAAGATCGATACACATATGTTATTGTTGTATAATTGAAGATTATTTAGAGGTAACGGAACCCGTTCTATGATATAAAAACTTTTTTTTTTAACTGAATTGTGCTTGACAGATCAAATATATTTATATTTTACATCTGCTTAATAAAACCGATTTAACTTCATACATCAACATATTCTGATTTGCGAATAGTATATTAAAAAAATTTCAATTAATGGAAATCAATACTTTCGAAAAATATATTTAAAAAATATCTAATAATGAAATCTTATTCTTCCTACACATCCATCATAATAATACCGATTTTATTTAAAAATACTTTTTCTATATTTTAATTACTTATATAACAAGTGAATTGGCTGTATTACTATCCACAGCAATAAATTGCCACAGTAGAATACTAGAGCAATCGAATGTTTGATTTCAACGTTTGAAGCATTAATTAATTTCAATTTCACATTATCAATTGCACATAAAATAATAACAAGATATAAATTTTCTTTAAAATAAATGGCTAAAATATATTACTTTCAAAATAATAAATTTGAAAAACTTCACTATATTATACATTTAATGTAAAATGTATATCTAATTTAAAAATAGTGTACAATTATATTAAAATTATATTAACTTCATATGTCAAAATCATTATGGTAACAGATAAAGTCGCAGCATTAAGAATGATCTATAATATTTGAAGTCCAGTATTTGTGAAGGAGACACGATGATTAATTTCGCGCGATCCATTCGTTTGTAAATTATATTTTCGGCATTTCTTTCGGTCAGAGAGGCAAATAGATGCGAAGCTTAATTGTTTTAGAGCTTCGAACTTGTTCGGATTCCTCTAAACTCTAAGCTATTATAATGGCATAATGGAACAATATTTTGAAGATTCGTGGATATGAAAGAAGCTGCCTAATAGGCCGTGAAAAGCCTACGAAGAGACGAAGAAGCCCGTGAGGTGGAGGGGGTAAAGAATAGAATTGTTGCGACAACTCCTTCCAACATCCTGGAATGGATTATTAGTTTGTTATTTCATTAATACGGTGGGCAACTAAACTGTCCAGAGAACTCGGACTATTCTGGTGCAAAAGCTTCGCCAAGGTCTGCCAATCTTGGAAGAGAGTATGACATACAATGTCAGCCGTCCTCTAATCGAGGATCAAACGCGCGGCGACTTTATGCGAAAGACAGCCAAATGCCAATGGGTGACGTGAAAAATGAAAAGCCGGGGGCTCGGCACGTAAGCGATTAGTGTTCGCGGTGTCGACGTTTCTGCCCCTCCCGCCCCCGAAATTCGACGTACGCGTGCCTCTCGGATGTATAATAAGCCGGGGGCTCCGCTTTTGCGGCGACGCCATCTTCTCGCTACTCCCCGGCTACGTCACTCGCAAAGTTAATATTTCATTTGTTTGTCATTTGTCGATAGATCCGTTGATCGAGAAATATTGATATAGAAATATCTATTGATCTTAGATATGGCAGCAAAGTTCAAGGTCCGTTTTATCTTAGAAGATATGAATTTGATAAATCGAAATAATCAATTTTGCAATTACATTTTTATTTTATTTATTAAAAGAAAAAGGAAAAGTTTATCAAATTTTGAAAAACATGCCAACCAGTTTCATGCAATTAAACAACAGGTAAGGGAAATAAAATAACGAAAACGTAAATATGTTGTATTTAACGTTGATTATGGTGCCTTATCGGGAAATAAAATTGTCAGTATGACATTATATAATGAAAATAATGGAGCTAAAAAGCTATGAATATGTAAAACAATTGTTATTATCGGAAGCGATATATATATATCTAATGGAGAATACATAATTTGATTTTCGTGCGACTCTGCGAATGATAACACGAGATGAAATATATAAAAATAACTGCTATTTTTAAATAATAAAATAATAAATAGTAATAAAATAATTTAAATACTTCTGAAAACGTTTATTATGTGGTACATCCATAGCTTTATATGCGTCTAAAAGTATCAGAAAAAAGATTACGTAGACAGATATAATATTGAAAATAATCGCTCGAGAGAATATATTAAACATGAATGTAATATTGAACAAAAATTGTAAAAGCGGAAACGGCACTTTTGTGGGTCTGAGGCACCTTTATACAGACTTTATTGAATATCCATATGGTGTAACAATTGTAGGTGAATCTGAAAGGATAAAGGCGAAGCAGTTCTTTACGCAATATCTTAATGGGGGCGGCGGAACTTGGAGCCTTCTTGCTTTCAAATTTCGTCTGGACCCGCAATAGCACAAACATCTTGTCCCTTCGCGCCCTTTTATCCGCTTCTCCATTCGGATTCTTTTATCAGCGTTCGCAAATGGGGAACTGATCATTTGATATGATGTGTAGTCGTAATAAGCGTATGATAAATTACATAAAGACGTCAGTGAGAATGAATCACTGCTTCTTGTCTTGATCTAAAGATCTATGCATTTAAAAATTGTAATGTTGCATGACACTACTGTTTATAAAATTTATTATAATTAAATTTCAGTTAAATATCTGCTAATATAACAAAAGATAGAAATGCTGTTTACTATAAAACTTTATTTTATATTAACTGTCAAATATTATTAATAAACAAATAGTTTATTAATTGGCAATCATTATTTTCTGCTTAATATTTTTACGTCGTCGTTTTAAATTTCAGATTCTACCAGTGAATATTAACATTATGTACATTAATTTTCAAATTGTTTGCCAAACAGTAGTAAAAAAAAATTTCAAACATTGCCATGAAATTTTTAAATCAATAAATGTGAACAAAATCTTCGAAGTTCTACAAAAATTTATTTATTTTTATTTTTATTTTTTTATTAAAATTTTTTATTAAATATTTTTTCATTAAAAATATATTTATTTATTAAAATTCTTTTACATATACTTGGATTTTTAATTATGTCGAATATTGATCGAATATAACTGAAAAAACTTCTATCCCATGTGATGGCGCCATCACCTATGTGTTTATTACATTGTGGGCAAAGCAAATTTCTACGTTTACCATAAATAAATTTATCTAAATATACAATATTTGTTCGTATAAAATTTGTTCGTACAATATTTATAATATTAATCAAAAATATATTATTTTATTAAATATCTTAATTTACGTTATTATTAACTGAGAACTGTATAAGTAATGATGTTAGAGCGAGTGGCCGTAATTAGAGGGAAACTTACACTGTCAATGGCTTGACTGTCTTTCTTTATTACTATGGTACATGTATTTCTTAAATGGTCATGAAATCTAAATATTATACTAAATTCTTCGTCGTCTAAAAACATATTTTCATTGTCTTTAATTAGTAGACAAAAGAAAATCAACTTATGAAGGCATCTAATGTATTTTATCCTAGTACAATTTATAAAATTGAAGTTCTTATCAGCAACCCTAATATAATAACAATATATCGTTTGTAAAGTTAATTATGCCCACTACTGTTGTCATGGTATCAGAATTGATTTCTCTGATTTGATGAATTTCATTACAACGCCGCCTTCGTGTTAAATGGTAAGACATTAAAAGAGGCTGTATAAATTATCTGAACACGGTTCGTTCAAGAAATATATCAGTATTTTAAATAATTTAGGGACTAGAAGTACGAGTTCAACGAGTATAAATCATAATTATTTAAGAAAATGAGAGGATTATTGATGTAGCTATGTAGCTAAAATTGTTATCAATAAATATACAATTACAATGAGTTAATGAAGATTGTAATACGATCGAACTGATCATGATCTCAACATGAATCTACCGAACCACATCATTTTTTCTTTTTCAGCTGACAGATATCAAAGACACAATAAAGATTTCGCTGGCACTCAATCTCTCTCGATGATTATGGCCCAGAGAATAACATAGTGTACTTGGCACACCACCGGTAGACTAATATAACGTATGATAATATTTCATTCTATACGTACCAAACATCAATTCTATACATCACAATTACTTACTCTTAGACTATCACTTATACAGTTCTCAATTGAAAAATGCAATCTTAATAAAAAAACGTTCGCCTTATTACTGTATCTTGATAAATAAATATAAAAATATTTTTTATAATATTTATAGAACTATGATAGATAAAAATAAATCAAGCACCTATTATGTCAAATAAGATTTAAACTAAAAACTTATTTATAATGGCTTCGATAAACCATTCGATATCAAACTGTAAATGTTTGCTATCTAATGATATAAAGTGAAGTTTACCATTGGCATCCATTTCTTTTAATCCTAAGCGATCCTAAAAATTTTATTTTTATTAGAACAAATATTGAATAGTTTTATTAAATATCTAAAAAAATAGGATTTAGGAATACCTCGATATATAATTTAGAATTGTGTAATGTCTCAATTTCTACAGCCTGACCAGGCTTATAAAAGCCAAACCATTCGGAAATTGCTGGCTGTACCATTTGATCATGATCAAATTTTACCAATACCAAATTCTTTAGTTTCTTCAAATTTCTTTTGTAAGTCTTCATACCAAATGTCAATACAAATATTAAATCAAATACAAATATTAGACTTATTTCGATAAAAAAAATAAATATTTTACCTCATTGATTTGCAATTCATTGTTAATATCAGATAGGAAAGTACTTCTTTTCCTATATTCTTCTTCCCTGTTTGGATCATGCCAAAATTGGGCTTGAACTAAATTATTCTGAACATATCTTGAATTAAAAAAAAAAATTATTTAATTTATCCGAATATGGAGAATATATAACGTGAAATAACTTATAAGAATGTACTTGGTATAAGCCGCATAATGAAGCATTCGACGAATCATATCACAGAAATAATGTTTTATCGATGCACAATTAGGAAGACCATAAACGCCTTGATGCTGACCACCTAGAGATATTAAATTTTGCATTTGGGGACCACCACACTTTTGGGCAACTGCTCTTCTGTATGTCAAACAGTCAATAAACATAATAAATATTTTAAGTCGTCATAGGTAAATAAATATAAATTAATATTTTTGTTTTATTTTTATTGTAATACAGTTGTTACAGAAATATAATTAATTATTAATTATAAAAATTCTTTCTGTTATATAATTTATAATGCATTACTTACAAAAATTGTGCTCCTTGAGAAAATCCAATAGCATTATATCCATGTTTCAGTTTTTCATCCATTGATAGTTCTTGACAAACTTGCTCAATTTGTTCATTAACACTTTTGAAAAAACTATTTTCAACATCCTGAAAATTAAATATGTATTTAATAAATATAAATAAGTATAATTGTCCAATTAAATAAAATTTTTCTTTTAAAATATTTATGTTTAAAACCTCAATATTATTAGTTCCAATCCTTATAGACTTCACATATACACCTGGAATATTCTCTTCTAATACCGATTTTACTTTGCCAAGACTGTAGGAAAAACAGCAACTGTCTCCTGCGTCATTAAAATTAATTCAGACTCTACGCCATTAATAAACTATTTTTTATATAATCTAATTTCCCACTTTATGGAGAAAGTTAGAATATAAATTGAGCATTGAACTTATCAAAATTTAATACAATTTACATTCAATACAATTTACCCATTGCTTAACCGCTACTATACAAAAACCTCCATATTTCCGTTTTCACATTATTACATGAATTTCGATTAATTTCAAAAAAACAATTATCGAACTTACCCATGCCATGCCATAGAACAACAGGAACTTTTGTTGTATAAGAAGTCACACAAAGCCTTGTCAAAAGTAATAAAGACACTTCGATTCGAAAAATATTAATCATATTTAGATTAAAAAATAGTGCCTTCCAATTGCAAATATAACTACAATCTATAAACCTTGACAATTTATTTTCGTATTTTAATTATTTTATTTATGATATAAAAATCAGATCATTTTTACGCTTAAACAATGTTGTGTACAAGATGACAGAGCCACTCGCGGAAATTGAATGAATTACTTGAAAATCGTCCCTCCCGAATCGTTACTTACACGGTTGATAACAAAAAATAAATTACTCTTATTTATCAACCGTTGAAAATAAAAATAATATTTATATAAAATTTAAATTCATATTATTATCATACTCTCTCGTATTTTAATGATCAAATTTTACTGCGATTTATATTTTTCATTAATACAAAAGTTACTAATCTTTTAAAAACTATTAAAAAATAAAATAAGATACATTAAAGATAAATTGTAATCGTTTAAGAAATGTGTTTATGTGAAAATTGTAATTGTGATTAATGATTATTTTAAAGACAAAATAATTAATCAATACAAATTGAAATGTTTAAATAAAAGCAGTATAATTAATAGATTATTATTATTGTTTCTAGTTACTTATTAATATCATATTTCAATCATTAGATTGTTATAAAATCAAATATAGCTGAAATATTCCCATAATTACCCCTATGTTACTTAGAACATACAATATATATAGTCTTACGATCATAAAAATATGTGGATATTTAATTTTTGCCTGAATTCTATAAAAAGCGATACAATTAATAATATTTATTGTACAAAATTCTTGTTGAAAAAATTAATGAAATTTTTTTTTATAAATTAATGCTATTAGAGCGGCATCATGAAAAATTCATTAACAGAAAATATTGTTTCCTAACTACAGTTTCAAACATTTTAAAAACAATAACAAGATACATTTTACTTTCTTCTTATAAATAGTTTGTAAAAGTTTACACAAATTTTAAACCTACCAGAGTTGAAAAAAATGAATTATACTCGCTTATTTGAATATTTCATTCAAAGACGTCAAATATAAAAACTCTTTACAATATAATTTACAAAAAAAAATTATTGGCTACTATTGAATTTATAGTCTAGTACTCTTAGCTTCTCAACCATAATGAGAAAAAAAAATTGGCACCTTTAATTATGTGCTAATTTACTGTTTATCGAAATCTTATAACTCTTCATGACAAAAATTCCTCTTTTCATATTATAGCCACATTGTGACATAAAAACTCGACAATAAATGTTCTTCTATTCTGAAATATAAAGTCAACGAACACAAAAATAAACTTAGAGCATACATAAATATGCATATTATTCTCAAATTTTGCATTCGATGATAGAAAAAAGCAAATGAAAAATGAAAAATTCAAATAGCAACAAACTAATGAGAACAATATATAATAATACGCTGTTATAATATATACTTATGCAATAATATATATACTTTTGTAGTAAAATATTCTTGCTACAATTATTGTATAGATTTATGAAAATTCAGATATTCTATTAAAATAGACAATGTCAGTGAACTTTTACTGATTTATAAAATTTTGAAATATTAAATAGTCAAAATTTTACTACCATTTGAATATTATTTACTTAATTTTTTAATTTTTTTTAATTTTATTTTAATGATGCACATGTTTATTTCAATTTTTAATTAATAAAGTATATGAAGTTTTAATTATATTTTAAATTATTGTTTTACATAACTCTTATATATAAGAGATCGTTAACAAAGTTTATCATTTATTATAAATATTATTGATACATGTACTGTTATATATAAAATTACACAAATTATTAGATACTAAAACATCATCAAGTGTGAAATATATTTCGTATTAGATGTTTATATTTTTAGCATAATAATTGTTTGAAGAATTTGTCCTCTAGACGCAGAATATTTATAAACAATGAAAATTTCTAAACACCAAATGACAATATAAGATAAAAATATAATGAATTAGAGACTGTTTAATTTAATATAACTCTGCTAAAACAAATTGTTATAAATTCTCTTTATTAAAATAAAAAACAAAAAATTAAGTTTTACTATTATAACAAAATTTATAAGTTCAAACAAATAATTGTAATGAAAATAACAGCAATTCTATTAAATATTCACGATTAGAACATTGAAATTGATGTAAATATTTTCGCGACTTCAAATTTACAAATGTAATTAAATTTTTTCTGAATAAAAATTTGTATTTTATAATATACAGAAGTATAAACAATTTAAAAATTTAGTTTTTGCATAAAAAGGTGAAAGATATGTAAAAGAATTTTATAATTCCCAAATTAAATATTCTAGCGATATCAAAAATTACTTTATCAATGAATATATTTTTGGTATTTATAAAATACATTTCTAAAATTTATTGTAAATATAGTTACTTTTCACTCAATATGCTTTTTGGTTTTTGAATATTTAATTTAAGTAACAAAAAAACAATAATAAAAGATATAACTATAAACAGTAATATTGTCATAATAACAATAAAAGAAAAATAATATTATCAATTTTTAAAAATTAAATAAAAAAAAACACACGGTTTTAAGGCACATTATCGTTTAAAGTTTTAAAATTTTGATGTATTATTATTTTATTGTTAAAATTATCCTGATTAACGAATCGATATTAATCTATTTTACTCGCATTGATTCAATGATTTTGACATCCTTTTTTTATGTGGAAATACTTGAAACTATGGTTCTCTAAGAATCTTACCATTTTTAAAAATTAAAAATAATAAATACATTTAATGATTTTTTATCTCTTGTTTAAGTAAATTTCATCTTCGTTTAATATTAAATCAATGAAAAAATATATATTTAATACATGTACTTCGTAAGATTATGTACGATAAGTATCTTGTGGAATACTGAATATTCACAAAACTTAATTTTAAAAATTCTAATAATACAAAATACTGTAAAAATTATGATTATTTTCATTATATTTCTTTTTATGTTGTACTATACAAAAGATGTGATTCCAGATTGTAAATAGTAAATTTCTTAATAAGTGTAATTCAAATTCTCATATTAAGCATTTACTGATGGTGCACTAGTTAAGTAACAAATTTACTTCGTAATAAAGGCAATTACATAAATTAATAAAATATATATTTTTGATATTTTTTTTTCAATATTCTTTCATAATTAATTTTTTATTATAAAAGCCTTTCTACTTATTTTAGATACATATTTATTTGTATATAAACTTAATTAAAAAAAATATATAAATAATAGTATTTTAAAAGCAATAATAAATCCATTATAACTAATTATAATTATTCTATATTATTAATTAAATTAAGGTCTCGCAATTGAATAATAAATTTGGGCACATGTTATTATGACGTAGTATTAATATTATATTGTTATTTACATAGAATTGTAATTATACATTTATAGTTAAATATTGATTTGATAAAAATTAAAAAAAAAAAGAATTAAATACTTTATTCATTCTCAAATATTTTATCTTCTTAGAAAAGAAAATTTATTTAAAATACATTAAAAAATATAACAATTTCCATCTACAAGTTTCAAATATTTTTAAACGATAAAAGAATAACATATACGAGGAAATTCTAATTTAATACGGGTGGAATTGAAATTAAAATAAGAATAATTAAAAGTCTTTCAGGGTGTAAATATTTAAATTATTTGCCATTAGCAATGAAACAAAATATCTATACATTTTTATCTTGAATATTTTTTCTGCGTTATCAAGATTTATTAGATGTTAACGGACATTAAAAAAAAATTAACTATTGCGGCTAATCTAAAAAATTTACTAGCATACTATCAATATTATTTTGTGAGAAAACTTAATTGAATCAATCGATCAACATTACAAAAATTATTATAATAATATGCTATATAAACTTATAAAGTCTAAATAATAGTGACATTTCAATACTTTATAATATATAATAATCAAATTTTAAATAAATTATATTGCAACATCCGTTTATCCCTGTTTTCAAATTCTTTCCAAATCCAAAATTCGTAATGTATTGTCTGTAATGTCGGCATTTGGTAAGATATCGATAATATGCGCCACGACAGATGTTTGTCCGAATTCGCTTTTACATACTTGGTGCTTGTAGATTGGGCAAAGGCTATAATCTCTTGATACGTAATAGCTGTTGTAGCTGACAGCGAAGCTTTCAAGTTGATAGGAACTCAAAATATTTTGTCTCCTAAAAGACTCGCATTGCAGGCTAAAATAACGGCTTACATTTTAACGTTCATGAGTTTTCTAAAACAATCTACGACGTTTTGTAGTTTTTATGACTCACTGATAACTCATACCCCTTCATGTGTCAATAGGAGCTATAACATATTAAAAAATATATCACAAAACCGAATATTAACAAAATAAACTCTGTTTAAATTTTTTTTTATTTGCTTGATCTCGTTGTAAATAAATAATTCTCCTGCATAGGATTATTTAGTTCGTAATACTTTTTTATAACCTACTAATCCCAAGTATAAAAAAATTCATCACTTGTACACTATACTTCGATATCCACCACAAAGGCTTTAAGCGACGGTGTTAAAAAGCACAATAGATATATATAAATGTGTGTGTGTGTGTGTGTGTGTGTGTATTTATATATATATGTATTTTTAAGTATTATATGCATATGCGTATTAACATAAACCATACAATGGATAACGAAGAAGTATATTGACACATATGTGAAGCCATTGATATATTAAAAGTAAGCAACTTAAAAATTATAACATTACAATTTGGATAAACTGCTATAAAATATCTATAGTTATCAGTCAGAGATATAGAAATTTTAGTGGAAGGCCAAATTTACAAAATACTGATATCAATTGAGGAATAAAAGTTCTTTCAATATAATTAGGTCCAATTCAATTTGCATACACATAACACACACACACACCTATATATAATATTTCAATACTTCCAAAGATGAGATTCAAGCATATGTGTAAAATCAGTAGCATATATTTAATGTAAAATACCGCTTTAAGTATTGGTAAGTGATCCAATATTCGTAAAATAAGCTAATACAGTGTAGATTATTCGAAAGTAGCTATGGTCATAGTTTGAAAAAAAACCGTTGCGTGAAAGCAGAACTAATTGTATATGGATGCAAATGTTCATAGTTAATCTGTTGTATTATCAGAAATTCAATACACCGGATGCAGCTTTAATGAGCAAAGATAAGTTCTTGAAATTTTCAAGTTATCCAAGAACGAGATAAAAATCTAAACCATTTATACATTTAGTGAGGAGGAATAAATACAATTATTTGAAATTATTATTTATTAGTCATTTGAAAAATGTAATCCCAAAAATAGTTTAATATTCAATCGGATAATCAAATACAATCCTTAAAATATACTCGCTCTTCAATGAAGAAAACATTCAAACACATTTACATACAAATTTGGGCACACTTGATTTAAAATCACAACTGCTCTACGGAGAAGTGATTTCAATTCCCAGTCCGTACACAAATGTTCAATTTATTTCGCTTGAAATTTAAACTATTAAATAATAACTACGATACTTCTATTAACAAAATATCTTTACCATATGAAAATAAAGAAAATATTCCGTACTAATCACTTTCATGTATAATTATATAGTATAAACGCATTAATATCGTTACAAAAAAGTGAAAGATAATAAAGTGCAGATCTAAATGAATGAAGTATTTATAACCTTTATAAAACCGTTATAAATGGTTATAAAATTATAAATTAAGAAATTGATACGTATTAAGAATGTCAAAACGATATTTGATTTGCTAGCAATCGAGAAAGTGGCGAATTCAATTCGTGTTTATCTCAATAACTTTCATTCGCATCACGGTTTCTTATCTAAATTATTTACGATGACAAAACTAACTGCATTTCTCAATGATTCTAAATGACTAATGTACATATATCTCACGTTTTGGTGATTACGATAATTCATATATTCTGGGCTGTTATTTGAAATATTTATTATTGATTTATCATCAATAATCGAATGTTGAAACATACGTAATTATTATAATACATGTATTATCCAAACAATTGCCAGTACCTATTTCTGTCCACCAATAATTAGATTGGACGAGAAATTTTTAAACTTGTGTCACCACATTCAACAGACTAGTTTTAACATGTTTTATATACGTCAACGATATTTACAACTCTGCACTTTTTTCTCACTCGAGTCTTTCATTACTATATAGAAATTGTTAAAAACTATACAGATATCGTTATTATTTTTAAAACAAATTTAAATGAAATAGATCAGTCTTACGTTCGATATTCAATTGCCAATTTTTTTTTTTTTTTTTGTTTTCATAAATTCACCTTTTTTTACAGTTTAATTATTAATTAATGGACCACGTATTGAGCTTTATTAATATTGTATATCGGTAATAGGAGACAAAATTTAATTTATTTACTTTTATTTTTGTATTTACAATAAGATAAAATGGCGACACTTAAATATCATCGTCTTAAGAGGCTGTTAATATTTTAATTACCTTTTTGCAATTAAAAACCTTTTACAGTTACGTAACTGTAATACCTCACATCAAAAAGGTATTTTTAATTAATTATTAATAATGAAAAAGTTTTGTTCTAATGATAACACACAGAAATAATGCCTTTTGAAACTTTGCGTATTTATAATAAAAACAGAATCATATATTACGGAATTGTTTATATAATAGAATTTTAGAAAAATATACAAAAATGAAAAAATGAAAGGTTACATTGGAAATTCGTAAGTAAAATAATATTATTTATTATTAAAATTCATTTAAACTATTAGACAATTAAGTACAAAAACGTGTCATAATAAAAATTGATATTGAGTCTGAGTGGTTGTAATATTTACTTACTTAGCGTAATACAGTTATTTTATCGTTTAACAATAGCAACTGGAACATAACAGAATAAGTTTTGCCAACTCGAGCAAAATCTTCGAAAATTGTAAATAATTAATCAACTTCTGCAGACAATGAAAATCCATCCAGGCATGCGTAAAAACACATTTTCAAATTTGCCTTGTAATTATATTCGTAAAATTTTATTTGAAACCAGCGGAAGTGTCGTTAGCCGAGTCAATATTAAATATTCACCCAATTGAACAACATTAATTTCACTTATAATGAAGAGTGACAGTGGTAATAACTCCTCGAATGGAGCATAATATTCATTCAATTTGGGATATTAAAAATGGCTGGGCCGTAGTCCCGCCTCCATATATTCGTTAGTCCTTGCATACCCTGAATCACTACAAGAGTGACATCACACGTCGCACTCGCACTCGCTCGTTTTCATTTTTAACGATCTAATACAGCAGTAGTAATGAGAGAAAAAAGAGGAAAAATGGTTAAAAACAATTCTCAAATAATCCGATGAAGGTCACCGGAATGACGCCTTTGAAGGTTGCGTCTGTGGCTGTTGCGTACGACTCCGAAGTACTCGTTGCTGAGGTCATTAAGCCGCTTCTCGAGCCTCAGATGGTTCAGGAAGCGATCCTTCTTCGACCGCGAGAAGTAGCCCCGGCCCAGGGTCAATCGGAAGTCCTCCTCTTCCTCCGCGGTCATGCCCAGCTTCGTGCTGCTTTCCTCGTTGCTTACGTTGCCGCTAACTCTCAGTTCGGTCTCCGAGTCCAGATCTGCCGGAAATGCACGAGATTGTGGATGAGGAAGCGCACGACAAGGGAGCCAGGCATGAAATTTACCGGAATTTGAGCCGGAGTCAGAGGAACAGCCGGACGAGGAGGTTACGTCCCACATCCTCATGTTCTGGCGTTGCAATGAACTGGGCGTCGACGTGACCATTAGCGAACTCTTCGCCTTACCGCAGACGATGAGGGCCGCGTCAAAGCTCGAAGGTCGCGTTCTGAACCTTAACTGCGTTGCCCGGCGGTTGCGATTCTCTTGGTGCAGCGAATTATTATTGTCTAACATCCTGGACGATTGGGAGAAAGTATTGAACTATTAACGTACGTTTTAATTATTCACATGCCAATTAATTATTCTATGTATTTTCTTTCTTTTTTGTTTTTTTCTCCCCCCCCCCCCCCCCCTTCCTCCTTTACTCATTGCCGTCGGTATATCGTCGATAGAGGTCTATTATTTTCCTCTTTTTTTTCCTTGCTTTTTTTTTTTTTTTTTTTTTTTTTTTTTTTTTTTTTTTCTCCCCCCCCCCCCCCAATGGAATTTGTTGTTGATGGTAAATGTGGGAATTTAATCGCAAATTTACTGCGGAATATAACTTTTAAATATAAATTTGGAAAATAACTTTGGAAATATATTAAGTCAGTTAATAAGCGTCAAATAATACATTAATCCTTCGTGAAATTGTATTTGGAATAGGAAGATAATAGAAAAATACAATTTCTCATATTTTTTTCCAATTGAGTGTCATACTAAACTTACTTGCACTTCCTTTTAGAAATTACATTTACACTCGTAGTATATTAGTAATTCAACGTCATTATATTAATCAATTTTAAAAAGTAAGTATAGATTAATAATTTCATATATATTGGACAAAGCATAAATTGTAAGCAATAAATCGCTAATATTTAGTATTCCGTTTTAGCCGTTCAATATGAAATGATGAGAACAAAAAACTATTTAATATAGATATGCAGTAAATGTTACGTTAACTCCCTAATTTGATTGAAACAACCGCTTCGAATGAAAATTATAAAAAATTTTATACAGTGAGTTATGGTTATTAATTTTACAATATCCAAATATTGCGCGTAACTGTGTCCGCTCGATTATTGTAAAAGTAACTTATTAATTAAATTTGTAAAAATCAAATTGTGACATATTTTCACACTATTGTTTAATGTTATACAAATTGCGTGTATGCAAAAAAATTCTTTTTTACAAATACTACCAATTATTTCAAAATAATATGATTAAGTATTTGACTTTATCAGTTAGAATTAAAATTCTATTTTATTCAAATGCTGTGCCGTTCTAATTTATGTACTTTCTATAAGTTTACTATATACTTATAAATTTACTATCTTACTGCGTAAGGAATGAAAGATCTGAAAATCATCATTGTAAATAATAAAATAATTATGAAAATTTGCTTAATGTTCTCATTTGTACGGGAATACGAAAACGAGCAAGTCGTGAGCGTTAATCTTCACGCTTGAGGAACCCGAGCAATAACTTTCGTATCCTCGTCGTGAATTACCACGTCGTATTATAATCAATTAACCGACGAGCCGTACAGTGAACTTATTCGCCATCTACTGAAAGTACAAGCTACCAAGGTATATAGTCAGCCACCGAGCCAGCCGTATCAAAACAAGCGGACTACTAAAATCGGATTAACTCGAAGCCGTTGAGCTCCATTGACTCAGTGTTAACTTACTTGCTGATGGGGATCGTGGGCGACGCCTCGAATGCCTCTGGCTCCGGAACCGAGGTCGGTGCGACCTCGACTGCCGCCCGGACGTCGACGCCCTCCTTGCACTCTTTGCTCTTCTTGCACTCTACGCTACTGTAAAAGAAATGTTTGGTTGTATTATTATCAGAGGTTATTTAAATTTTTTTGCCTCGTGATTGGGGCGCAATATTTAATATTTCCCCATAAAAACACTATAATTTATCAAATTCGGATGTATCAATTGCGTAAGCTGCGAGACAGGACGTACTTTCAAATGTTATGGGGAAAGTTTTCAGCTGGCTTTTGACATATAAATAACACACTGTTGTCTAGCTGGCTTATTAAAGTATATCGTAAATAGGTATTGCAAGGCCTTTCTTTCATAAAATTCATTTAATCGTAAAATTTTATGCAAATTGTTTAGACAATAAGTATAATTTTCATTTGTAAGTTTTAAAAATTGTTTTAAAAATCCATTATCGAGCTAGCACAATGAGAAGTATTATTCCTAAATGAATATAGCTAATCGTTGTGATTTTAATTGTAACTTGTGTGTAATGTTCCACTGTTGGCAAGAGACTAAAAGTTGTACATCTAAAAAAAGACTCAAAACTTTTACTCAACTCCATTATTTCACTTTAAATCTACGAAGGTTTTCAGGCTCCGAGTAAATCGTTCTTTGACCAAGTTGGCAAATCATGACTTTATACCACATGTGTACCACATCTGGAACTTTGCTATTGCAAATTAACATCAATAGTTTAGCTTAGTTGTTATGTGGGACTTGGAAAGACATATTATTTTCTTATTGAATTATAAGGCACCGGAGATTGATATTTCATGAAATAATCCTATTAATGTAGTTTACTTCGCAATAATAAATATGTTTTCCTGTTTAACTACACCTCGTATATCAAAGCAGGGATGAATTATTATTTAAATCAAAGATTAAAGAAAGTCTTTCATCATAATCAGGAAGAACCCGCTTTTCAGTACAATACACACGAGGAATTTTTAAGATTTATTTTTGACAAGCGTCTCGAATGGAAATACATAAGATTCCATATGATTTTATATGTTCATTTACTTGGAATAAATCTATGTGAATGGGGATGTTTAACGTGGAATATAATAAGAATACATACTGGATTGAGGCCTCTAAATTTATAAGTTTATTGAAAATCATAGATCAAATCTTTACATTTAAATCAATTTATACAAATTGCAGATATTTATGAATTTGTTTATACTAAACGGCCGTTTAATTCATCTGTTAAATAGCATATAGCGGAAATCTCGCTACTAAACAGACATTACGCAATCGCGCAAGATATAACTTAACTCCCGAATCAAAAGATAAGCTGATTGTTTTCATTAAAAAATATATCATATACACGCTTCACTACGTCGGGCCGTTGATAAAACCGTTAATCAAAAATAAATGCTACTCAGCTAAAGAAAACTTAATTGCATGATTCAATGGAGTCTAATAGTGACAAGCTCTGATGGCAAAGTTGCCTTTTGCCGTAGTACAAACTATTGATGTAATTAAACGTCACGACATAGTCACTGCATCAGTATTATCGACTCAGAGGCACAACTAATAAAGCATAGTAAAAATTACACCATTGAATGAAATTACACAATTTGAATCAAGATATGACGAATTCGTTAACCCGGGCGCGCAATTAAAGGCTTTTATTAGCATTGATGGCCACTATACAGCGTGAGATCTTGCCATCTCGATAATACGACGTAACCCAATTAGCTTCATTAATATTAAATTATATCAGTTAATGTCCTAAATGTCAACGTTAACTATTCATCACTAAATTTGATTATTGATTGGAAGTGGCTTAGGACAGCTATTAATGTACTAAAGAATGTATTGCGTTGATTTTTAATAGGAATGCAGCTAATGTGTGATTTAACAAAGTGGACTTTTTTTCAAATGCTGCAATACATGATCACTACTTATAATCATGATCTCTCGCAAGAGATGTAAAAAAACACTGCTGTTCGCTTACAGAACTGATATTCTTCCTACCCAATACAAATTCATTATTTAACAAGATGAGATTCTCATATAATAAAGAAAATATTAACACAAAGAAAATAATATATCTTTTATATGTTTAGATTTAATTTGCGTTCGCAATTATGTAAATAACAATCATTTAGTAGTGGCTGAATAAACGAAAAAACAATTATTTTTTAACATTCTTGATAATAAAAAACTTAATATATAAGGCATCATTCATTTTCTCAAATATCACGAGAAAATTATATGGAAATTCAATCATTTTCAATAGGCTAAAGAAACGATATAAACAGTAAGATTATTATTATTCTTAATCAAACGGTTGCTTGACTTTAAGAATTTAGCACTATAAGTGTAGACAAATTAGTCAAAGTATTTCATGGTACAGATAAACACTTTACAACAACATTTTTTAATTGATTTTTTTCTTTCGTAGAGGATAAGCTGCTTTTTAGTAAATAAAATAGAAATACCGAAATTTGTATTAAATATGAGACTCTGAAAAATTGCCATTACAAATGACAAAAAAGCGACTTTTTATAATCTACCACTTTGAAAATAACTTGCGACACGAAAAACATTATCCTTGAATCGGGCTTTAAAAATATTAAAAAAATAAAAAAATAAAAAATAAAAAATAAAAATCAAATAGAATATTAAATGTAAAATAAAAGTAAAATAACTACAAAGATCACGAATATTTAAAGTAATCTTATCTTATTTACATAGATACAAGTTATATATAAATTTCATTTTTTTTTTTTAGTTATTTTGTTTTCCATAATAATAGAAGTATCCAATAATAAAACTATGTAGTCACGTATAGACACTTCGTTAATTTGTCATAAGCAATATATGTATAAATGATGACTTTAATAATAATGTAGTTATAAATACATCTTGCTCACATTTTGAATTTTTATCTGATACGTGATCTATTCGTTACGTGCTTGCACAACAAATGAATAAAATGTACTTTCAATAAAAAAAATTGATATAATGATTGTCGTCTTAAAACATACCAATAAATAAAAATAGAATATTTATTAATCATTTAGCCGTTAAATTAGCATTAATTGTATTCTAGTAGGAGAAAACATGAGTAATTCTGTATGATAGAGAATAAATATTATCATAACGCACACAATGTTTACTATTATAAGTATTATCATCTAAAACAATTCAACACGTCGAATGTTTACCATTTTACTCTCCATGCTCAGTACGTACAAAAAAAAAGTCCTGTCCTCGCTATCGCTATAAATAAATACATCGCTATAGTACACGAAAAAATAAAGTCAATTTCCTCTTTTGAAAAGTGTCACGATAAGAATAATAAACTTTGATAATCTACGTCTCTCTCGCAACGGAAATTAATTTTATGACGATACGAAAAGGCAAAAGTGCTTGCATTGGTCAATCCAAATTTAGGAGATGAAAGTCTCAGAACTTTAAAAGGGAATGGAAAAAAGAGCAGGCGACCTCGAACTTTTGGCGACTATAAAAAAAAAAATATCTCCCACTATAGAGCAGAAGCCTCGATCATTAATTCAGTGACCTCAAGACTCGCCGTTAAGGTCGGCCCCTCCATCCGAGGAGGTCGAATGTTGCCGAGTGGAAGACTAGTCCGGTCGGACTACGCGATGCAACGTTGATCTAAATTCGGAACAACACTTGTAATATGCATGAGAAGTCTGAATATTGATGACGAGGAAGTAACATATGTATCGATATTTTTTAAGAGCAAAAAATCTCATTTTCAAAATAACAAACATTACCGACCGTCGGCTAATCGCATTCACATATTTATTCATTCGGACATTGTTCATCAGCATGACCGTGCGAAAAAAGAATACGGCTTAGTGTGGATCTTATAGACTTATTAAAGCCGTTAGAACGTACGCAATGTTTCTTATATGGTCTTTTTTCCAAATAATTTTGAAAATGCTTCTGATTTTTTAATAAATAATATCGCGTTAACTAAAATTTCACTTACTGTTATAAAGAAAATATTAAATACTATGAAGCTTCAGGCTATTCTAAACGTTCCCTTCGATTCTCTTATTTATCTATTTTTAATTCTATTTCGAAAAACAGTTATCTTTATGTAAAAGAGAAAAATTAAAAAAAAAAAAAAGATTATAAAAATAGTAATTAATTGTTTATCTACTTACGTATCGGTAATATTCGATTTCAACTATTTGGTTAATTTAAAGTCTTTATATATTTGTACTTTTAATATTTCTATCCCGATCAAAGCAGTTTCGTATACATGACTATTCAAATCCGATAAAACGATCATAAATAATTTTATAATACATATAATCTATAAAGGATCTGTTAATAATTATTCCATTAATTAAATATAAATATATCGTTTTAACCGAATTGAAAATTTGATATATCATAATCGAGCAATTATCAATGCAAATATCAATTTTTTATAGTAAAAGAGCATTTAAAGCTTTTTATAAATAATTTTCTAAATCGACCGATTAATTTGATGCCTTATAATAATGATTAAATGTATGTTTGTATATGGATACAATGGTTGATAATAGGTATTGACATGGCTAATAAATTCAAATGATCTATAAATAAAAATATTTTTTAAAACAAAAGAATCGTTTGAGATTTTATTAAAAGCTTTTAATTTTCTTTAAAAAAAAAGCATCAATCTCTTTGTATAATCATAATAGAAAAAATAATTCTTTACAAGATATTGACAATTGCTCAAACTTAGAATGTAAAATAGATAAATAATAATAATAATAATAATAATAATAATAATAATAATAATAATATCTTAATACGCTATATAATATTTTGTTATATTGCTTGAACATGAACTGTGTCATGAGTAACAAAGGCGATAGTAATCGTAGTAATTCTTATTTGACTTATTTAATTTCATTAAATTTCCTTTTCACTCTTACCGGTTTCATCACTTACTCTTTCTTTTTTTCTGCTACAACGTCCCACATTCTCACCACTTTCTTTTATTACTTTATAAATTATTTAATATGTTTGTCCAATAATTCTCCGTCTCTCTCTCACACACTCTCACTCT